CAAAGGGCAGGGCCTCTGTCCTGTAACTGAGCGTGGCCTCTAGATGGTGAGGAAGTAACCAGAGGAAGACACTTGGTGCCCCTTGTAATAGTCACAGCCACTTTGTTCCGTGCCTCACAGGAAAGAACAGAATGCCTGATTATAATAATCTTCTAATAATTACAATATTTTGCATTCATTTTCTTTTAAAAATCTATTTGAGTAACTACTAGCCTTCAGAAGATGCTGGAAAATAGTATTTAGGCAGCAGCTGGCAGCTCCCAGTGTTGGAGTCAGTGCGGTGCTCGGCTCGTGAAGATTTCATTAGCCGGACATACGTTCCAATTTCCTTCTTGCTGCATGAGTACATTCTCTTGAGCAGCTGTTTTGGAAAAGGATGTACAATAAACACTTCTGCACTTGTTTTAAATATGTGGGTTTTGTTGGAGTGTCGCTTGCCATCTGGAAGAGAGAGGAGTGAGTGATTTACTCCTTGAGAGGAAGGGTTTGGAATCTCCACGTGTGTTCCTAATGCAATTTGAGGTTCCCTCTTCATTTCACTCACTGAGAGGGCGTAATCGGTGGCTCTAGTCGTTTTGTTTTGTAAGAGCCTTAGCCAGTGAGTTGCATGGATTAAAAGGATGAATAGAAATTAATTGAAATGGACCTGACCAATGGTTGTTTTCATTTTGAAGCAAATGTGCAAAGGAAATACATGATGTTGTCAACAAGTCAGAGAAAAATACAGATATGCATAGAATAAATTGTGAATGTCTTCCCTTCATCCCACAGCACCCGAGGGTAACCCCATCAGCAGTAAGTTGTCATGTTCTTCTGTCTTTTTTTCCTGCTGTGTTCTGTTTAATAACTAGCTGTCCAGGTGATCTGGGAGTATAATTCTTCATTCTAGTAGTGACTTGTGGGTGGGTACATACTGGTAGTCACACACTGGTTCTCTTGAGGTGGCAGTGGCATGAGGGACCTGTTGGGCGGGGTTTGAGCAGATGACAACCCTTCTGAAGCAGGACAACTGGCCAGGAAGGCTTGCTGTCCAGGTTTTATTGGAATCACAACTGCTGCTTCACAGTGGGAGTTTCCCATGTCGAGGGCATTCAGTGTTGCACATGCATATCACCCACTGAACTCTTGTGGCAACCCTGGGAGGTACGCACTGTGACGCCCATTTTACAGATGTGGAAACCCAAGCACAGAGAAGTTAGCAACTTCTCCGACATCCTGCAGCGTAACAAGCGATTGCAGTTGAGTCAGTTCAGCTCCGGAATCATGTTCTGACGATGCTGTGCCATCTTTTAGGAGCACAACTCTGTTCTCTGGAAGCTGGTATATTTAAGTCATACCTTTCTGGCCCCCAAATCAGGTAAATGGAAATTATAGATCTCTTAATGACTTAAAAACCAGGTAATAGATGTTGTACAATTGATTGAATGTATAACTCGAAACAGTGTCGCTGCTGCCAGCCTGCCTGCGACAATCCTTCTTGTGGTTTTGCTTTGTTAAAGTAAATGTTTTCCCCGTGAATCTTCTGAAGTGTTTTATTCTTGGTGTCTTTCTTTGGGGCCAGCACGCTTTCTGGCTTTTGCTCCTGCTGAGTAGGCAGACATATCTGGAGAAAGCCATGGAGTAAAGGAAAAGAAAAGCTTTGCAATTTACAGTTGATTTATATGGAAGCTCTTTCTGTGGTTGAAAAAAAGTAAAGAAAAACCCTGCTTTCTCTATCACCAGTTCCCGGCAACAGTAAGCCAAACTTCCCTGTATTTGGAAGCAGGCATGGGTGCATGGAAACTGCTCAGAACCCGGAGGTCAATGCCATTATGATAATTCAGTAACTTCCATGCGAAGCTGTGAGAAAAGGGTTCTGGTGCAGATCGAAAATTTGGAACCAAGCACCCTAAAGATGGCCAAACTGACATAAAGTATTTATCTTAGTGGAGTGTCTTGGTCTGTTTGTGTTGCTTTAAAGGAATACCAGAGACTGGGCAATTTATTTATTTGTCTTTGAGATAGGGTCTGTTGACCAGGCTGGTGTGCTGTGGCTTGATCATGGCCCACCACAGCCCTAACCTCCTGGGCTCAGGTGATCCTCCTACCTCAGCATCCCGAGTAGCTGGGACTACAGGTGTGCACCATCATACCCCGCTAATTTTTGGTATTTTTTGTAGAGATGGGTGTTTGCCATGTTGCCAGGGCTGGTCTCAAACTCCTGGGCTCAAGCAGTCTGCAGGCCTCAGCCTCTGCAAAGTGCTGGGATTATGGGTGTGAGCCACTGTATCTGGCCTGACACTGGGTAACTTCTTTTTTTCTTTTTTTTTTTTTTTTTCTGGGTGACAGAAATCTTGCTCTGTCACCCAGGCTGGAGTGCAGTGGCATGATCTCAGCTTACTGCATCCTTTGCCTCCCGGGTTCAAGCTATTCTCCTGCCTCAGCCTCCTGAGTAGCTGGGATTATAGGCACCTGCTATCATGCCCAGCTAATTTTTCTATTTTTGGTACAGATGGGGTTTCATCATGTTGGCCAGGCTGGTATCAAACTCCTGACTTCAAATGATCCCCCAACCTCAGTCTTCCAAAGTGCTGGGATTATAGGCGCAAGCCACTGGTCCTGGCCTGAAACTGGGTAACTTTTAAGGAAAAAAGATTAATTTGGTTCATGATTCTGCAGGCTGTACGAGAAGCATGGCACCCACGTCTGCTCCCAGTGAGGGCCTGAGGCTGCTTCCACTCCTGGCTGAAGGCTGAGGGGACTGGTATGGCAGAGATCACATGGCGAGAAGGAAAGCAGGAGAGAGCCGGGAGAAGGGCCAGGCTCCTTTTAACAACCAGCTCCCATGGGGTCTAAGAGTGAGAATTAACTCCCCATCCCGAGGAGAATCAGTCTGTTCACAAGGGATCTGCCCCTGTGACCCAGACACCTCCCATCAGGCCCCAGCACTTGAGATCAAATTTCAACATGATATTTGGAGGGGAAAATATCCGAAGTATATAGCATGAAGTAATGGCATTTTGAGAGATGCAACTCTTAATCTCTGGCAATTAGTAGTTAGATGGACAATATGATATTTTTGGGGGCATCTTTTGAACTAACTGTGTGCACGCACATGCACACATGCATGGGTGTGCACTTAAGTATAACATCAGCAACATTTGTAATGGCAATTCGTGTTACAGAGTACGTCATACACAGGTTGGCTGTATGGTTGACCACGCTTTGGCAGATCCTTCCTTTCTTAGTTCTTCTGTCCCCCAACTGGGAAGTGACATTGTGAAAACACAGACGCTAGGATTTCAAGAACAGCGTATGTAAAAATGGTGAAATACTTCCTCAGTTCTTTTTCATAATTTCTAAACTGGTAAGAGTCAAGAATTCAAGGTTGCTCATCTAAATTCTTATGTTGGAGTAGTCATTTGTAAAGGGTGATAGGAGAGAATATCATTGTTAGTTACAACAGCAAAGGTTAATTACCTAGTTTTCCTCTGTAAATTATTTAAATCTCAGAGTATTCTCAAACATTACAAAGGCTTAAAAAGCAAAGGCGAGGGGCTAGGCACAGTGGTTCTCGCCTGTAATCCCAGCACTTTGGGAGGCCGTGGCGGGTGGATCACAAGATCAAGAGATCAAGACCATCCTGGCCAACATGGTGAAACTGTGTCTCTACTAAAAATACAAAAATTAGCTGGGTGTGGTGGCATATGCCTGTAGTCCCAGCTACTTGGGAGGCTTAGGCAGGAGAATCGCTTGAACCCAGGAGGCAGAGGTTTCAGTGAGCCTAGATCACGCCACTTCATTCCAAGTTGGCGACAGAGCAAGACTTCTTCTCAAAAAAAAAGCAAAAAGCTGAATTTTGAGAATGTGCTCCATGCACAGATGCTATTGTTGTGCACCCTGAGATTTTGCTTCAGTACTTGAGATGTGTTATCAGAATGTCAAAGGGCAGCAATGATGTGTGAACAGTTTTGTTAAGATACAATTCATGTACTACAAAATTTACCCCCTTAGAGTGTGTGATTCTGTGCTTTTTGTATCTTCACAGAGTTGTGCAACCATCACCACAAATGTGCTAATTTTAGCACATTTTTATCCTACAAAAAAGGAACCCTACATCCATAGTAGTCACTTCTCATTTTCCCTTTCCAGCCCCTGGGAACTGCTAACCTGTAGTCTGTCTCTGTAGAGTTGCCTAGTCTGGACATTTTACTAATGAATCATACTATGTGGTGACTAACTTTTTTTTTTTTTGTGACTAACTTCTTTTTTTTGTGTGACTATTAATGTTACAAGATTCATCCATGGTGTAGCCTGAATCAATACGTCATTCCTTTTTTATGACTGACTAATATTCCATTGAATGGATATACCACATTTTGTTCATCCTTTTTGCATCTGAGGAACATTGGCTTGTTTCCAGTATTTGACTTTTATGAATAAGCCTGCTAGAAATTCTTCTACAAGGCTTTGTGTGCATAGGATTCTTAATTTCTGTTAGATATATATCTAGGAGTGGACCTGCTAGGTCCTATGTTAATTCTGTTTTATTTTTTGAGGAGCTGCAAAGGGCAGCAGTTTAGCACTCTGATTTATTCATTTTTCAGGACAAGACATTGTCTAATAACCAGGAACTTGTTCAACTTTGATCTGTCATCAGATCCAGCTAGAAGTTGCAAACTTCTCAAGTCCCTACAAGAGAAATTTTGTTATATATGTCTGTGAGATCACAATGACTGTCCTCTCTCTCTCATTTCCCCCCATTTTTTATATTAAAAATTAATTGCAAAATATACTAACACAAAATATACCATTTTAATCATTTAAATTTTTTTTTTTTTAGAAGAACACTGCAGTAGTTAATTTTATTTGTTCAAGAACTCATATTGCAAGCATTAAACCAAGCATAGGCTTTGATTCTGTGAGCCCAAATTCACATATTGAAGAAGATCAGAGCAAACTGCGATTCCTGTGCATGGATGAAAACTAAAGGCTCAGAGTTAATCACATTGTCGTTTTTAAACTTCTACAGCCTAGGGCTCAGTAGTCACAGGTCTTTTAGGTCCTTCTGGATGTCCCACAGGGTATCCGCACTTTTCTTGAGCTGAGCAACTTCATCATCCTTGAGCTTCTGGTTGATAACGCTGGTTAATCCCCGGGCATTGAGGATACGTGGAAGGCTCAGGAAGACTTCGTTCTCAATGCCATACATCCCCTTTACCATTGTTGATATGGGATGAATCCTGGTTAGATTTTTCAACATGGATTCAGTAAGATCAGGCACACTTAATCCAGTAGCCCAGTTGGTATATCCTTTTCGCTTGATGACTTCATAGGAACTTTTCAACCACCATCTTGTGCACTTCCTTCCAATTTTCACTATCATTGTCAGTTCCCTTTTCTGGATTCAATTCCTGAAGAGAAACACCTGCTACATTCACGCCATTCCACACAGTCACACTTGAGTCACCACGTTCCCCCCAAATCCATCCATGGCAGCTGGTGGGATGAATGCCAAGTTTTTCAGCCATAAGGTAGTGAAATCTCGCAGAATCCAGATTACATCCACTTCCAGTCACACGGTGTTTGAGTAATCCACTCAGTTTCCAGGTAACATCTGTAAGAATGTCCACTGGGTTGGAAACCACAATTACGATGTAATCAGGACCGTACTTGACGATCTGAGGAATAATGAATTTGAAGACATCGACATTTCTCTGCACCAGATTGAGACAACCCTCCCCGTCTTGCTGACGGACTCCTGCAGTTACCATTACAATCTTAGAATTGGCAGTCACGGAATACTCTTTATCTGCCACAGTTTTGGGCGTCTGAAGAAATAAGTTCCCATGCTGCAGATCCATCATTTCTCTTTTAAGTTTATCTTCCAAAACATCCACAAGAGCAAGTTCATCAGCCAGAGACTTTCCCAGAATGCTGATAGCACACACCATACCAACTTGTCTTAACACCCACTACAGTCATCTTATTGTTTAGAACTGTTTCCTCCTCTTCTGCAACTGGTGCAATGAGTTTTCCTTAAGAGTTGCTGTTTGGCACAGGAGAGAGAAGGCTCTGGAGACTGCAGAAACAGTGGTGCAGAGAAGACCATGTCAGCTGCCTGTGTCTCCTCTGGCACCGGATCCGCAAGCCATTTAAATTTTTATTGTGGTAAAATATATATAGCATAAAATTTATCATTTTAACCATTTTTATGCTTGATCTTAAAAGGCAAAGAAACAGTTTAATCATGTTAAATAAAGTGTACAGTTCACTGGCATGAGGTAGATTCACAGTGTTGTATAATCATCACCACAGTCCATTTCCAGAACTTTTTCATCATCCCAAGCAGAAACTCTGTACCCATTAAATACTAACTTCCCATTCTCTCTGAGTTTGCCTTTTTGAAGTGTCTCAAATAAGTGGAATTGTATGATATTTGTCCTTTTGTTTCTGGCTTATTTAACTTAGCATAATGTTTTCAAGGTATCCATGTTGTAACATATATCAGTGTTTTGTTCCCTTTTTTAAGACTGAATAATATTCCATTCCATAGATATTTACTACATTTTGTTTGTTGATTTCTAGCTTCAGTGCATTGTGGTAGCAGAATATACTGTTACAGTCTTGCCAAAGCATCACAATGTAGCAGTCTTTTATTGTGAGGTAGCACCTGAAGTTCTTTGTCTCTTGACTAAGAAAATTAAGGAGCATGGACATGAAGGGTGAGCTTGGAGCACAAGTTTAAAAGTTTAATAAGCAAAAGGAGAAAGCTCTCCACTTCAGACAGAGGGCCTGGAAGAAGGTTACCAACTATGAGACTGGATCTGGGGGTTTTTCTGGACTGGGAAGGGAAGGAATGTGCTGACTGGTCTTGGAGAAAGCCTACTCAGCTTGGCCTGGGACCAGTCAGGAGCTGAAGTGAAAGCTTGGCCCAGGACCTTGTCCTGGGACCAATCCAAGGTTGAAGTGATAATTCATAGAGGCTTGGCTCATAGTCCAAAGCATGTCCGAAAAAGGAAAGGAAAGTGCCCACCGGAACCCACTAGAGCCCACTGTGTACGTGTCCACAAAAGAAGAAGAGACTATTTCCTGGAAGCCCACTGGTTATACAAAGAGCAAAGGCATTTCTAGGTTGGCTCTTGTTCCTTTATCTGAGTGGGCTGGAGGTTTGTGCAAGTTTCCTTATCTGTGCCTGTGTCCTGATTTTTCAGGCTGTTTCTCTGTTTAAAAGAATTTTGCCAAGAACCTATCCTAATTACCTAAGTTTTCTTTATCAGTGCTTTGTATGATTTCAGTCTTTTTAAATAGATTGAGACTTTATTTGTGGACAAACATGGTCTCTTCCAGAGAGAAGAGACTTTACAATAATGTGTCTTCTGCTGTTGTTTGATAAAATGTTCTGTATATGTCTGTTAGATCTAGTTGGTTTATGTGTTGTACAAATTCTCTTTTTCCTTACTTACCTTCTGTCAGGTTCTTCTATCTTTTATTGAATAGGATGTATTGAAGTATGTTATTCTAGAGCTTTCTACTTCTCACTTCAGTTATGTCAGTTTTTCCTGTATTTTGGGACTCTTGTGTTTGGTGCATTTATGTTTATAATTATTATATTTCTGATTGAATGTATCCTTTTATCAAATATAGCATCTTTCTTCTCAGCTTCAACAACATGTTGATATTAAGCATATTTAAGAAAGTTGCTTTGTAAAGTCTTTGGCCTTCTCAGGGACATGGTCTGTCAATTTTGTTCCATTGAATGGACTATTCTTTTTCCTTATATGCCTTAGGGTTTTGTTGCTGTTGAAAAGGGATTTTTGAAAATTATAATGTTGTGTCTTTGGAGAGCAGAGTCTCCTCTTTCACTGAGGTTTGCTTTTTTGTTGTTTTATGGTTTTATAGTATTTCTTTTTTTGTCAAGTGACTTTTCCCAACTATTTTTGTAGGGATTATATTCCTTGTCTTGTGTGGTCACTGAAGTCTCTGTTTCTTAGCTAATGTTCTGGTACTGATTTTTCTTTGTTTTGTTTTTTGATTTCTTTTTTTAAGAGATGGGGTCTTACTATGTCACCCAGGCTTGACAGGAACCACTGTGCCTAGCCTGGTAGTGTTTTGACAGAGATTTCCTGGAATGCCAGGGGCTAAAGCAAATAAACAAAAGTATCTTTTCCAGTCTTTGCAGATTGGCTGTTTGCTGGAGCCCTCCTTCAGCAGATAGCCAGACTTGTGCCTAGCCTAGTATTTAGCCTGAAGTGAAAAAGCTTAAAGGTCCTCTTGGGTTTTATTCTGAGCATGTGTGTGGCTTTCTAATTTCCCACATACATATGGCTGCTTTTGATTGCCCTAATTTCCTAAGGCAGCTTTCTTCTCCTCTTTTCTTCCCAGGCCTTAGATGGTCTGTTGCATGTCTCATTTGTATTCTTTGACCCCAGGTGTCTGTTTTTGAGCAATACCAACAACTTTTCCAGCCTGGATGAGTTTTGAGCTAAGCCTGAACTTTGTATCAGTTCTTCAGGTCTCCCTGACAGGTTGGAATGGAGTTACCAAAAATTTATGAGTAAGTTCTACTTGTTCCTTTTGGAATCAGGACCAGGGTCCCATTCTTTGAATACGGGCTGCCATCACACTGGGAGGAGGTAGGGCAAGGGCAAATAAGTATGCCATAAAGCTTTCTTATCCTTTGAAGTTCTTGATTTAATGTTCATTTGGTTGCCGTAAGCCTTTGACTGTTTTCCAGAGTTCTGTCAAAGTTAGTTCTGAAAGTTGGTGCTTGTTTGTTGATGTTTTAGGTTCAGGGAAGTAGATGGCCACTTGGAACTCCCTACTCTGACATTTTTTTGACATCTCCCAGTCAGCATTGTTCTTTTGCAGTAGCCCATTTCAAAACCCACTGGAAGCCTTTCCTTATACTGCCCCACACGCTACAGATAAGAGATGGCACCTTACTTGTCAGACCCTCTTCCTATATCTCCTCAATTTCTGTTATTCTCTTATAGTTTTTGGTATAGTTGTTAGCTGAATACTAGTGTTAGCATTTTTCCTATTAAATATTAGGTTAAGTCGGGTGTGGTAGCTCATGCCTGTAATCACAGCACTTTGGGAGGCTGAGGTGGGTGGATCACCTGAGGTCAGGAGTTCCAGACCAACCTAACCAACATGGTGAAAACCCATCTCTGCTAAACACAAAAATTAGCTGGACGTGGTGGCAGGCGCCTGTAATCCCAGCTACTTGGGAGGCTGAGGCATGAGGATTGCTTGAACCCAGGAGGTGGAGGTTGTAGCGAGCTGAGATCACACCCTTGCACTGCAGCCTGGGCGACAAGAGCGAAACTCTGTCTCAGAAATAAATGAATAAATAAATAAGAGGTTAAATAAACATTAAATACACTAAATGTTAGATTTTTAAAAAGCTTGTATGATATCTTACTCCATTGGGGCTGCTATAACAAAATCCTACCATAGACTAGGTTGCCTATAAGCAGCAGCCCGTGATCTCTCGCAGTTCTTGGGAGTTTGGTTTTAATGCATGAATTTAGCCAGGAAACAAACTTTCAGACCGTAGCACATGCCTTGTGATCTTTATGACAGCTTCAGCACACATCTTGGGATTTTTTTTCCCCCACTGTGAACACGCACTCCTGAAATATGACCCAAAGCAGTGCTAAATATGATTTGGTTTATATACAACTTTTAGTAACGTCTTCACTGGAAAACTGAAGGCTAGTTCAGTGGTCTTTTTTCTCTTCAGTGAATAGTATGCATTTATAAGCAGTTTACAGGCCGGGCACAGTGGCTTACACCTGTAATCCTAGCACTTTGGGAGGCTGATGTAGGCGGATTACCTGAGGTCAGGAGTTTGTGACCAGCCTGGCCAACATGGTAAAAACCCCATCTCTGCAAACAATACACAAACTAGCTGGGCGTGGTGGCACATGCCTGTGAATTCCAGCTACTTGGAGGCTGAGGCAGGAAAATCGCTTGAACTCGGGAGATGGAGGTTGCAGTGAGCTGAGATCTCACCACTGCACTCCAGCCTGGGCGAAAGGGCAACACTCCATCTCCATTTATATACATATATGTAAAATCGTTTATAAATATGGAAAGTTAGAGTTATTTGACAGGAAACATTAAACAGTGGTCATTGTACCTGGGTTTTAAAAAATTTATGGTCCCTTCGTGTAACATTAGGTATTATAAGACACAGTACATTCAGGAGAAGACAGGTTCTAGCATTGTATGTGAGCTAGAAATGATTATCTCAACAAGAGTTTCAGGCTCTTTGATGCAAGAGTGTCTTTCTGGTGTTCCTTAGCTACTTCTGTCTTTGATGAATCATTTTGATGCTGAATTTGGATTCACTGTTAATTTTTCTACAGTCTTTAAGGGTTAATACACTGCATTTATTTTGAAGACTGAGTTGGAGAAAACTAGAAAAAGAGTGGCTAATAAGTTATAATTATGGTTTCTGCTAATCAAATAAGGATGCTGATGCTCAAGAGAGTGTGCCATCTTCTCCATCTTCCCTTGTTGCCCTCACCTTGTGTGTCCAGGTTGAAACCAGAAACATCATTTGGTTAAAATTCTCCCTAAGATCAAATAAAGTGCACCTTCACTTGCTTCTTTGCTTAAAATAGTGGTAGCCAGCCTGACTCGGTGGCTGACGCCTGTAATCCCAGCACTTTGGGAGGCCGAGGCGGGCAGATCACCTGAGGTCAGAAGTTTGAGACCAGCCTGGCCAACATGGTGAAACCCTGTCTCTACTAAAAATACCAAAATTGTTGGGCATGGTGGCACCCACCTGTAATTCCAGCTATGCGAGAGGCTGAGGCAGATGAATCATTTGAACCTGGGAGGTGGAGATTGCAGTGAGACAAGATTGCCCCACTGCACCACCCCAGCCTCGGTGACAGAGCAAGACTGTCTCAAAAAAAAAAAAGTGATAACCAAGGGAAAGGTTGGATTACTTAGTATTGACATGCTGCTTCAGGGGATTTTCTTGGATTCAAGGTATATCTTAACCCTGTTGGTACTTCTGGTT